ATATAATAAATTCCTAACTAAGTAAGTTCCAAAATTTTAGGGAAATGATACATAAAGGGAAACATGAGTAATAGTTTGATGACCCGTTTTGGAGACAAAGAGTTTTACAGGGTAGAAGCCACACAACTTAGGGCATATATCCTGCTGATGGCAAACCAGGCAGAAATAGGAACTGGAGAATCTATCATTCCACCTCTAATTTGTCTAGACTCTTGAATCACTCCATCTTTCTTAATATCATAAACCTGCAGATGAGCAATCATAACTTATTTTTATAGCTAGTTTTGTGCCTTTCTTACTATTAATAATCAATGATGGCTTAGTTGAAAAAGAGCTTAGGCCCTCTGGAGGCAGAATCTTTTTTTAAATCAAATTTTATTTTTTCAATTAGGAAGTATTTATTTTTTTTCCTTCCCTGCTGGAGAAAAGAAAAAGAAAATCTTATAACATATATATACATGTATACATATATATATATATATATATATATATATATATATATATATACACACACACACACATATATATACACATACACACACACACACACACATATATATATATATAATATATATATATATATATATGTATAGTCAAACAAAATTAATCCCTATGTACCATGTCCAAAATTCTTGTGTATCCCTTCTCTGTCAGCAAATGTGTAGCATGTATTATCATTGGTCCTCCACAACCATAGTTAGTACCAGGCACTTATAGAGCACTTTAAAGTTTTTTTTTAATTAATTTTTTTATTTTTAGTTTTCAACAATCACTTCCATAAGCTTTTGCTTTTTAAATTTTCTCCCCCTTCTTCCTTTCCTCCCTCCCCAAGACAGCGTGCAATCTGAGATCGGCTCTACATATGCATTCCTATTAAACATATTTTCACATTAATCATGTTGTAAAGGAGACCTAGAGTCCATAGGAGGAACCACAAGAAAGAAGAAACAAAGCAAAACAGGAGAAAAAAAGAGCAAATGGTCTGTTTCGATCTGCATTCAGATTCCATGATTCTTTCTCTGGATGTGGACAGCATTTTCCATCATGAAACTTTTGGAGATGTCTTAGATCTTTGCATTACTGAGAAGAGCTAAGTCTATCAAAGTCAATCATTGCACAACATGGCTGTTACTGTGTACAGCGTTCTCCTGGTTCTGCTCATGTCACTCAGCATCAGTCCATATAAGTCTTTCTAGGTTTTTCTGAAGTTTGCCTGTTCATCATTTCTTATAGCACAATAGCATTCCATTACATTCATATGCCATAACTTGTTCAGCCGTTCCCCAATTGATGGACATCACCTCGATTTCCAATTCTTTGCCACCATAGAAAGAGCTGCTACAAATATTTTTGTACATGTGGAGCACTTTAAGTTTTACAGAGCACTGAAGCAGACACCATGAAGTCATTTGCCCAGGGTCATGCAGCTAGTTAGGCTGGATTTGAACTCAATTCTTGCTGACTCCAGGTCCAGCACTCTAGCCACTGGACTACCTAGCTGCCTGGTTCTTCTCATTTCACTCTTCATCAGTTTGCACAAGTCTCTCCACATTCCTCTGAAATTATCTCTTGCATCACTTCTTATGTCATGATCTTATTCCATTACATTCATGACCATAATTTATTCAGTCATTCTCCAATTAGTGGGCACTGCCTTAGTTTTCAGTTCTTTGCCTCTACAAAAAGAGCTGCTATAAATCTTATTGTAAATGAATCCTTTTCCTCTTTCTTTGATCTCTTTGATATTCTTATAGACCTTTGTTTTTAAAGGTTCCTCTTCCTAAGCCTGCAGTCTCAAGTAAATGATTCTAAGGGACAGCATCCACGCGTCTAAAAGAGGAGAGTGCTGGGATCAAACAGAAGTGATAGCCAAAACCTGAATGGTCTCTCTTCTTCTGTGTGTGGTGAGCTTAGTCAAGCAGAAGACCACTGCCATGGCCACCAGTTGCCCTGAGCAGCCAAGCCAATACCATTAGTCCCAGAGAGCAGGAGAGAACATATAACCCATGGGCCCTCAGCATCACTGTCTTTGTCAGGGAACAGCATAGCATCATCACAGTTATTACCCTCATTATCTATGACTGATCACAGAGACCAGGATTACTCTCAGAGTGAGGCAGGGGATGATATTGATCCATAACAGTGGACTAAGTGTTTAAGCTCAGGAGTCATGTCTCCAGTGAGATCAGTAAGAGAGATAGAGAGAGTCCAGCACTATACTGAGACTGCTTCAGAGATGAAGCAGCTTCACCTCTTGATACTTCAATCAATGACATCTTTGAGGAAATCTATTACTCAGTGACCATTCATTAAATCCCCACTACTGCCAGGCACTGAACCAGGCATGGAGGTTACATTGGTGAAAATGAAGCCATCCTTGCCCTAACTCAGCTTACATTCTACAAGCAGAGGGATTGTGGACAAAGTGTGCATAAGGTAGTTGGGGGGAGGGGGCAGGGCTGGAAGCAAGGGAGGGGATCAGGAAAGGCCTCATGAGAAAGATGGGATAGAATGTGATCCTTAAATTCTGGATCCATTTAAATTGAGAATCTAGTCCCTGAGAACAGAGGAAGGTAGTTCAATTTAATCACCATTCGATAAGTGCTAAAATGTGTTCAAGGCCAAATTGTGCTAAATGCTGAGGATCCAGAGATAGAAATAAGATGGTCCCTGGCCTGAAGGAGCTTACATTTTGCTGAGTGTGAAATGGGGGATATGATCTACAATCAAATAATTATAACACAAGATAGAACATCAGGGAAAGCTCCTTCTATGTGCTATGTACATTACTAGGTTCTGTTGATGCAAAGGCAAAAGATGCCCTGGCCTCAGTTAAGTTATATTTTATTGGGAGAAAATGTGGAGACACATAAGTAATAGAAAATATATAAAAAGTAAATGCATGGTAATGTTGGTAGTACTGGTACTGGGGGAATCAAGAAAGGCCTCATGTCTGAGATGTCTCAAGCTGAATTATGAAGGAAGCCATGGATTCAAAGAAGCAAAGATGAAGATGAAGAGCATTCCAGGCCATAGGCACACATTATTCTTAAGTACAGAGATGGAAGAGGTGATGTGAGTGAGAAATAGCATGTGAGCCAATTTGGCTGGACTTGAGAGGCAGTGTAAGGACTCTTTGGACATGGGTTGAAATCACATAGTGAAGAGCTTCAAATGTCTCTGCAGCTTTTTGAGCAGGGAGTGATATATTTTAGGAAAAGCACATTGGCAGTTCTGTGGAGGATGGACTGCAGAGGGAAGAAAGAAGAAACAGGGAGGCCAAACAGGAGGTAATTGAAATAATTCTGGAAAGAAGAGATGACGTCTTGTGCTGGACTTCTCATATGAATGGAGAGAAGGGAATAAACTTGAGAAATGTGGAGGTAGAGACAACAAGACTTGGCATCTGGTTGGATAGGTGGGGCAAAGAAGACCAAGGAGTCACAAGATGGCTCTGAAGGATTGGATGATTCCAAAAATAGTGGTGCTCACAACAGAAAGAGGGAAATCGGGGAAAGGTGTGGCTTTGAGGAGAAAGATCATGAGTTCTGTTTTGGGCATTTTGAATCTGAGATGCCAGTTGGAAATGGGCAAGAGGAAGGTAGTGAAATGGTACTGGATCTCAGAAGACAGACTAGGCCAGGATATAGAGATCTGGGAGTCACCTTCACACAGATAATTGAGTCTATAATTGCTGATCAGAAAAAATGAAGGAGTGTGGAGAGAACAAAAAAGCCTCAAGACAGAGACATGGAGTACAGCCATTGTTAGCGAGTGGAACATGAGGATCTAGGAAAGAAGACTAAGGAAAGATGAAATCCATAGGAGGTAAGGCAAGAGAAAGCAGGGTCACCAAAGCCCAGAGAGGGAAAAGTGTCCAGGAGGAGAAAGTGGTCAGCAGTATGAAAGCCTGAAGAGGTCTGGCAGGATAAATCCTGAGTAGAGGGTCATTAGGCCTGACAATTGAAAGACTACTTACTTTGGAGAGAACAATTTCAGTTGAGTGGTGAGGTGATAGGACAGACTTCAAAGGGTTTAAAAGAGAGGGAGAGAAAGTAGAGACAATGAAGAAAGATGGTTTTTTTCCATGCATGTAGCTATAAAAAGAGAGAGAGAGAGAGAGAGACAGAGACAGAGAGATCAGGACAATAGCTGGAGGGCATGGTAGAATCAAGTGAGTGAGTGTGTGTGTATGTGTGTGTGTGTGTGTGTGTGTGTGTGTGTGTGTGTGTGCGTGTGTGTGGTGTGTGAAGAAGCTAAAGATAACAGAGAGAATGGGAATTATTGAGGGTCAGTTTCCCAAAGGTTATATGATGAGGGTCCAAGTGGAAAAGTTGGACTTAGTGAGAAAGGCTATCTCTTCAAAAGAGACTTTAGCAAAGGTGGAGATAATGGGAGATGACAGGAAGGGGGGAGGAGTAAGCATTTGTATGATGCCGATTATGTGCCAGGCATGCTACTAAATGTCCAAATATTATCTCATTTGATCCTCATAACAACCTGACATCATAGGTACTATCACTTTTTCCAATTTACAGTTGATGAGACTAAGACAAAAAACAAAAAGTTAAGCTACTTGCCCACAATCACACAGCTAGTAAGTGCCTAAGGCAGCATTTGAACTCAGGTCTTCCTGACCCTAGGCCCAGCACTCTACCCATTGCACTGCCAACTCCCTCCTTGACGCTGTCAAGTTTGGAAAAAGGCTCTATGTACAATGATGCTCCTCCTTAGTTCTATCTCATCTTACTTTTGGTTCTTTCATGTTTCTTGTTAGTGAGTCATATCTACAACGAATTAGATCCCAGGAAACTGTGCATTTTAGTGTGCTGCCCCTGAATGTTAAGGACTTGCCCACGTCTTTCAAATTGCCACCAGTTTTCTGAGTTGTACCTCTTAGGAGACACAGATGTTTCCCAGGGAATGCCAGCTCCTGGATAATGAAGGTGGCCATTCAAATTGGTTGGTGGTTTTTGATGACTCTTCATGTTCTCTTACAGCCTTTGCCAACAAGACAAGCTGCCTGTCACCTTCCAGTCCTGCGTGCTCACCAAGGAGTGCCAGCTGTCTGAGTGGTCTGAATGGAGTCCATGCTCCAAGACCTGCTTTGATACGTCATCCCCCAAAGGGAATCGTGTCCGCACACGGACCATCAAACAGTTTCCCATTGGCAGTGACCAAGACTGCCCTGCCCTGGAGGAGATTGAGCCTTGCCTGACCCAAAGAGATGGGGTGGCACCATGTGCTACGTAAGTAAATGGCCAGGAATTATAGATCCTGCTCCATCCGGCAGGGCAACAATGATTACTTCCAAAAATCTGGTACTCTCTAAAGACCTGCTTATTTTACCAGTTAACCTCTGGAGGGAGAAATGGTCGGATATTTATTCTTAATGACAGAAGCCTCTCCATCTCTTGCATGTCCATTTGATGCCAAAGGCTTCTTTAGAGAACAAGGGCAGTAATGAGAGTAGTTCTGGTGTCTGACATTTCCCCCACTGTCACCCCACGAGGGCAGTAGTGTCAGTATTGTAATCCCTATTGCACAGGAGAGAAACTGAGGTCCATAGAGGAACTAACTGGCCTGGGATCATCACACATGAGGAGCACTAGACCCCTGCCCTACGTCTCTCCTAACTTATAATTCTAGGTTTCTTCCACTGCACTCCACTGTCTCAAGATAGAAGTAGCCAGGACTTCCTTCTGTTCTCAGATCTGGCTATAACTGGGTGTGGGCAGCTGCTGTTTCTCAGTGGTGTGTAGGGATCCCAAAGGTTCTAGTTTCAGCCCAGCGCTTTCTCAGTGGTGTACAGGGATCCAGAAGGTTCTAGTCTCAGCCCTGCAATGAACAGCAACAGCAGCTGGAGTGCATATTGGGCTTTAACTACACAAAGAACTTTACACCCATCCTCTCCTGCAGTCCTCCCAACAAGCTTATAGGGGATATACTACAGGCATATAATTTTACAGACAGAAGAAAGAGCGCTAGGGAGGTTATGCGACTTCTCCATCATCACAGCTAGTCAGTATCGGAATCAGGATTTTAACCAAGGTGCCCGTGCCTCCCAGTCTGACACTTCCATCTTACATCTGCCATTGTCTTACTTCGTGGGTGACCTGGGCCAAGTCTCTTAGCTTCTCTGGCCCTAGGTGTCAGCAGGTAAATTGGAGGGGCCCTCTGCTCCCTCTGAGCTTTCCCTTTCTCTGATCTACAGAAGTAGGTGTAAGATGAATGATTCTGTTCAATCTATCCACAAGCATTTATTGAGCACCAGCTCTGTGCCAGGCACTGGAGATGCCGAGACAAAAGTGGGAAAATCCCTGGCCTCAAGGGAGACAAGGTGCACATACAGATATATTCAAAATAGACACCAGGCCGTTGGGGCCGGGGGGTGGCTGGGGATGGGGTGCTTGTGGCTGAGGCCTTCTGCTCCAGTGGTGGAGCTTCCTGGCAGACACCACCACCGATGGCATCTCGATTGCCGACCTGGACTTCGGAGCAGCAGTTCAGACATCGGTGAGGCTGGGGACTCTCTGAAAGAGATGCGCCCAGACCACTCATGGTTAGGAGTGAGGTGGATTGATTGCAAGGATAACCAGGGGAAGCCCAGCTCCCAGAGGCAGCCTCCTTGTGGCTGGAAGGAGAAGCCCCACTCAGCTGTGCTGCTCGCATTGCCGTGCACATGCTAGATTCCTGCTGCTGTGATGACATTGGGCCATAGATGACAGAACGAACTGGGACAGGAATGGGACATAGTTCTCATGCACCAAACAACCCATCCTCCTTAGGTACTGAAAGGTTAAGACCCCTCTGGAGGTTCAGATGGAAATCATTGATAACAGTATGTCCCCTTGGCCTGATTGGGAATTTTCTTCTGTCTTATGACCTGGGACATGCAAGGCTAAGGGGAGGGGGAGACCCTTAAGATATGATATCTTATCCCTGGGAACCCTGGAGCCCATAATCAAGTACCAGGCACTCTGGTGCCAGATAGTGATTGTTGTCCTCCACATTGGCCAGGTTTCGTTCTTCCTCATTTTTCTTTTCAACAGGAGGATCTGGAGGTAGGCTCATTCAAAAAGCTGAGATTTGTTTGTATTTTTGCCTGTTATTTTGACCAGCACTTTCCCAAGCTGATGTCCCACCCCCTTGCAACTTTCCCAGAGATTATGTTGTTAGCTTCCTAGAGCTGAGTGGGAGACTCCTGGACATCGTGTTTGGGGTGAGCTCAGACCTGTGGCTCTGAAAAACAAAACTTCATCTGGTGTGGAGTGAGGTCAGACTAGACTGTCAGACCTTCCTGAGCTCAGAGGGAGACAGGGAGAGGTAGACAGCACACCTAAGAACCCCTGCAACCTTCTGACCTCATAGAACCACAAATATGGCACTTAAGCCATCACCATTCCAAACTTGAATCTGATCTAAAAGGCCCATCATGATACACAAGCCAGTTTTTGGACACCATAATATCAATTTTCCTGGAGGAAAAGAAATATCATAACTTCCCATCTCTGGAAGCATCAGTGATGGCTCCCTGGGGAGTGCATGAAAGCCTCCATTTAGGCAGGGCTGGTGACATAGCTTTGCTTTCACAAGCTTGGGATCTCAGGGCTCCTGGCTTATGAACTCCTGATTCAAACCCTGCTGGCTCATCCTCCTCCACCAGCCCTCAGCAATGATGCCTCCATGCTTCTGAAAAGCCGGCTTGCTGGTGCCAAAATTTCCTGTTTTCAAATTGTCACAATTCTTTCCCCCTTCCCACAAGTACAATTTTCTCAAATATGGAGGAGCCATTTCAAGGGCCATCATTAAATGGATGATGGAAATCTGCTTTTCTACCTTCAATGGTTACCGTTTGTTTTGATGAATATGATCTTTTCACTTTGACCATTTCTTCTGCATGCTTGCTTGAAAGTTAATGTCAAGAAGGAGCAAGCCTGGGGTTAGTTTCGTGAAATGTCATATTTCAAGTTTTCTCATGCAACAGTGCTATTTTTCTTGCCACCAAGTATTGATATATGAGCTTTATTGATTGTTAAACACAGGATTTTACTCAATTTGACCATTGCTATTGTAGACCTGAAGATGGAGAGGAGAGGGAGAGGAAGAGATTATTTGACATTCAGGTGCACTGTGTGTTTTATCTAAGTAAGGGTCAGTTGGGATTAGAAAACATTTGGCTAAATCTTCCCAGCAAACAAGGAAGTAATGCCAGGGATACCTGCTGTCTCTTCCTCTTTCTATTTGCTTTGATTTAGGTATGGCTGGAGAACTACAGAGTGGACTGAGTGTCGAGTTGACCCATTACTCAGCCAACAAGACAAAAGACGAGGGAATCAGACTGCCCTATGTGGAGGAGGAATCCAAACACGAGAGGTCTACTGTGTGCAAGTCAATGAGAACCTCCTCTCTTATTTGAACACACTCAAGGAAAAAGAAGGTAAATCCCATGTCCCCCAACCCCCTTTTATCATGGACCTTTTCATTCAATCTTCCTGTGCCACCATGCCCACACTGCTTGGGGTGGAGGAGTATTCCTGACATATCCTGTTTGACCACGATCACCACAGCACAGTGAATACTGTTTGTGTTTCTAAGGGAAAGGTAGGTTCCCTCAGCCCTAGGTATTCAGTCAATCAAAACACTGAAAATCTTTTATAGCATTTTCTAATGGAAGCACGTTCATGTCTTTATTACAAGCTAATTGTTGGGCTAAATTTAAGTAAAATTCCCTTATGTGTACTGAATGCAATGCATTCATTGACCAGCACCTTCCCAAGTTGATGTCCCACCCTCCTGCAACTTCTCTAGAGACTATGTTGCTAGCTTCCTAGAACTGAGGTGGGAGACTCTTGGACACTGTGTTTGGGGTAAGCTCAGACCTGTGGCTCTAGAAAACAAAACTTCACCAACATACAGCTTCGACACATACAACTGTAACATCAAGAGATCTTTGGGTCCCCCCAAGATGACCTGTTGTGCTCGTAGGCTGTGCCAGCAGAACCAGTGCTCTAGCAGGTCTTAGCACCCTGAAAATGCTCCAAGTGCAAGCCATCAACCAGCTACTTGTCTATCCCCTGGGAACCAGCCAGTCTAAGCTTGGGAGGGCCCATCACTAAGTGGGAGGCAAGGGAGGCATTTTTCAGCAACAGCAACTCACAAAAACCATCATATAAGTAGTAGATGGGTGGTGGTCTCGGTTGGTGAAGGGATGACCAGCATTGATGAAAGAGAATTAGTGAATTAACAAGTATCTCTTAAGCATCTACTGTGTTCCATATGCTGTGCTAGGTGTTGGATATTCAAAGACAGAAGTCAGATGATCCTTGCCTCTTAAGTCTAGTCTGAGAAGACACTATATGTATGTATAGAGAAGGAAGGAGGGAAATGGAGGGAGAGAGGGAGGAAAGGAGGGAGAGAGGGGAGGGAGGGAAGGAGAGAGGGAGGGAGAGAGGCAGGGAGGGAGGGAGAGAGGCAGGGAGGGAAGGAGAGAGGGAGGGAGGGAGAGAGGGGAGGGGGGGGAGAGAGAGAGAGAATCTCTAATCTGTACAAAACAAATACAAGTAATTCTTGGGGAAGCAAAGCATATGTGAGTAGCTGAGAGAGATAGACAAGGTTTCCCATAGGAGATGGTGCTTGAACTAAGCCTTAGAGACACTAGGGATCTCAAAAGAAAGAGGTGAGGAGGGAGTGAACTTCAAGCATAGAAGACATCTGGTGCAAAGTCATGGGGATAGGGGATGGAATGTCCTGCATGAGGAACAGCAGAAAGGTCAATTTGATGCACCTACAGTCTGCATGATAAGGCTGGATACATAGTTGGGGGCAACTTAAGTCCTCGGCATGTTGAAATAGGTAAAGATATATTATAAGATATAAACAAGTGATGCTCTTAGGTGATCTCTAAGCCTGTAGTTTCTCATGTGATTGAAGAGGAGTCTGCACAAAGTAGACTATTTCCTTCTTCAGTCCTTCAGCTGAGCCATGTCCTTGGCTTCCTGCTCCTCTGCCTGTATCTCATATTCACCTACTTGTATCCATGTTATCTCCTCCATTGGAATACAAGTTTCTTGCAGGCAGTGGAAATTTTTGCCCCTTTTTGTCTCCCTAGCACTTAGTACTCTCCCTGACACAAAGTAGGTGCTTAACAAATGCTAGTGGGTTTCTGGAGTTGGCTAGCCCCCTGATGAGAGAGGCAATACCCTTTATACCAAGAATTCTTAACTTTGGAAGAAGCTGTACCCTGGACCCATCTGTACATCTGGTGAAGCCAGTGGTCCCCTTCTGAGAACTGTGATTTTAAATGGACGACATAAGACACATAGGATTATAAAGGAGGCCAATTATACTGAAATATAGTTCTCAAAATAATTTTTTAAAAAACTCTATGGATCCCAGGTTAAAATCCCCTACTCAGTATGCAGGCTTCATAAACTTCCATTCCCAAAAATAACCACCAACCCTTGGGAGCCAAACTTCTTGTGAGTAATATCTCTCCAAGCATTGCCCAGCTGGTCCAAGGATAAAGGACTTACCGTCTTCACTTGGCCTGGACCCAAAGGCTTTCCAGATGGTAGGTCATGCCACATCTTGAGTGCTAAGCTAGCCAGGCTCACCTCCAAGCCATGCTGTAGCATCAGAGAGCCACTCGGCTGGAAATTTAGTTATATGAAAGGAAAAGTATCAAGTGAAATTGTATATACTTTTAAAGTCAAGTATAAGCCCTTAAATATAATTATTGAAAAAAAACAAAATTCATTATCCGTAAGTCTTGAGGGTCATGACCAACTATCTCTACTAGTCAATAAAACTCAAATGCAAAATTTGACAACCTAATGCAATGAAAGAAGCATTTTTTGAGTGCCTACTGTTTACAAGGCATTGTGTTCAGTACTGAGGACTCAAAGATGCAAAGGACAAATCTTGATCCCACTTTTATGATCACACTGTCCAAATAGACTTTCCAGAGGCAGCAGTCCTGATTGAAAAATCTCTATTTGTGGCTCTGAGAAACTCAGGTCCCAGAGGAATAGATATAAACCTTGGCTTCCTCCTTAGCTGCCTCACAATGCCAATAAAGTCAGACAATGAGCAAGACAGCTGTACAGAGAGAGTGGATGGAAGTAACTCCATCTAGAAGCATGTGAGCAGGAGTCATTAAGAATGTGTGTGGTCTGAGTCTACGCCCAGATCATAGGAGCAGCAAATGAGATTATCAGTCATCCGGGTCTCCTGTATGCTCAAGTGCACATGCTTTTTTGCACTTCCCAGGATGCCGGGCTCCTCTTGCCCTTGAACAGTTCTCAGAGGAGGTCTGAGTTCAGTCACAGAAGCCCTTTGGTGGTCTCTATGTTGGAGGACCTGGGGATTCACAGCTTCACATTTGGGTCCAGAGATGCTAGACTGCACTTCCTAAAGAAAATGGAGAAAACAGTGAATTAGATGTTAAGATTACTGGGATGAAAACACCTCCCCATTTCTGGTTCTGATTTAGGGTACATTCACCTTAGAGAATTGGATGTAAACCAGTTGTGAAACATAGCCATGCAACCACAGGTAACCCACAACCTAAGCTGAGAGTGAAGGAAAATCACTGTATGGAATCATCAAAATGGACCAGCTACAGGCACTGATGTTCCATGTGGGTCACCATTTTGCCAGATAGGTCCTTGGCCTTTCCTCTTCATGCTAAGAACAGTTGCTCTTGTGAAAAAGAGATAAAAAGAGAAGAATCTCAGAAAAGTTGCTATACCCACTTTTTCCCATAAGGAAAGATGAGAAGTCCCCAGCCTCTTATTATTTCCTCTCAGTCTCAACCAGTTAGTCCAGGTTCCAGCAATACTTTTTCAGGTAGCTAGAATCAAACATCTGGGTGCAGCCTTAGTATGTTGGAGAGACCCTGCCTACCTCATGGGACACAGAGAAATCCCAGGTCCTTCACTAAAATAACAGCAACATTTTTTAGTTGACAAAAGACTTCTTTCCTCTCCCAGAATCACCCTGAAAGTCCACATTATTGTTGCTTTATTTTTGTTTAAGGGAATTTCTTATATGGAAATTAATTTACAATCTTAAAGAGTTGAGGCACTGAGCAGCTAAGTGACTTGCCCAGGGTGACACATCCAGTGTGTGTCACTGGCAAGACTAGAACCCAGGTATTCTTCACATCAAGAATGACCATTTAACCACATTGGACATGCCATCTCCCATACAGTGTATATTCGTTTCATATCTATGCATTTTAATTTCTTACCACAAAACTCTGTACCATGCAGGCTTTCTAAATGTGTGAGAAACACTCTTAACTTTGATGTTGGGATTGCCTATAGTCCCCAAAACTGTGACTATCGGTATGCACCCCCTCCTTTGTCCCTTTGGTAAGTCTATCTCTCCAGGACTCCATAAGGTTGGTCCTTGGTGGCGTCCAATCTACACGACACAATGTGTCAGTTGTCTTCACATACCATGGCAAGGCCTTCAAGAAGTTCTACCAGGGATAGATCTTTCCTTCTCTTTTCCATTTACTCATTTCCTAAGACCCTAGAGACAAATTTAGAGCCCGATGTATTTAAGGCATGATTTTATGAGTTGAAAAATTAACTAAGTATACATATTGGTGCCGTGTCATTATTGCAAAAATGTAGCTGGAGCCTATCTGACAAGCTTCATGTTTTTGAGATAGGGTTGGTCAACTAAGCTTCTCTTGCAGATTTTTATGGTCATGTTGGGCATTTTTGCCAAAGGACTTTCTTAGCAAAGTTCCTGAAGGCTTTGGAAATTTTTATCTGGAATCACATTAAAACAAATATCTTCCCCCAGATAAGGTGCAAGAGAGAAAATTGTTTGCGTGCTTCTATTAAAATATATTTTGGGTTAGAATAAATGTCAGTTTAAATGTCCATATGTAGAACAAAAGCCAAATAAAATGAATATTGATGCTGTTAGTATGTGATATGACTTATCTTGTGGAAATTTGTGTCTTTTCAATGAAAACATCAAGACTGTCTCTAAGTAACAGTAGCTAGAATTTATAAAAGTCCTTTACATTTGATCCTTACAACTGCCTTGCAGGATAGATGCTATTATTATCCCCATTTCACAGATAAAGGAACTCAAATCAAGATGTACTAAGCAACTTGCCTGGGGTCGCATAGCTAACTAGTAGGTGTCTGAATCAGGATTTGAATTCAGCTCTACTTGACTCCATATCCAGTCCTCCAACCACCAGCTGCCTAGGTACTAAACCTGATACAAACCTCACAGGAATATTTGATGCTTTCTGAAAGTTTTTGGTGATTTAGGGGGAAAAGCTAGCAATGTTTATACTTGTATGAGTTCCATCGAAAATTTCCCAGCAGGAACTATTGTCATGTGCATGTACATGGTATGTCCCTGATCTCCAAATCCCCTGGGAAAGCTGAACTTCCAGGTCAGCAGAAGTAGACAGAAAGCAGGGCAGATGAAGATGGGCAGAACATGAATTCCTCAAGTGAAAATAAAGCCAGGCATTTTTTAAGTAGTCAGCTGAAAAAAGTCACATCCTTATCCTTTAGAACATAAACTCCTCCAGGGCAGGAGCTGACTTGTTCTACTCCTGTTTATATTCTTGGCACTTAGCCCAGTGTCTAGCATGTAGCAAGTGCAGAATAAATTATTGTTGACTGATTGATCAATCCCAGGGGAAATTTTAAAGTCAGAGAATCCTAATCTGCAGGGAAGCAGGTAGAGGAGGGCCCCAAAGACAGCCTGCCTTCCTTAATGGGACATTTGAAGTAGCCTTGGGGTTTTTTTAGTCATTATTTGAAGGGATTAACACTGTCTAAAGGTGTTTACTGGGCAGCTGGGTGGTACAGTGGATAGAGTGCCAGGCTTGGAGTCAGGAAGATTCATCTTCCTTAGTTCAAATCTAGCCTCTACTAGCTGTGTGACCCTGGTCAAGTCACTACTCACCTCAGTTTCCTCCTTTGCAAAATGACCTGGAGAAGAAAATAGCAAGCACTCCCTTAGGGGTCACAGAGTCAGACATGACTAAAATGACTGAACAACAACAACGAAAGATGTTTACTGCTGAGGAGTCAGACTGCAGCAGAGATGCTGTCATGTCTGGCTTCTACTTGTGACTCAGCAGTTTCCAAAAAACAAGCCCTTAGTTCACCGATTATACATTCAATCAAAGGAACTCAGGCTGCCCTTATGGTCACAAGTGGCATCTCTTAGGCCATCTGCCACAGTGCAGCACACAGCCAAGCCCATTGCAGCCCAGATCACACCCGGGAAATGGAAGTGGATGCCATGTGTACACGGGTGGCTGCACTGTCCCCCACACCCCACCCCTGCAGACTTGCCCAGCACAGATGTGGGCAACGCCCCTCTTGGTATACGCCTAAAGCAGCAAGCCAGCCAGGGATACTGCGCTTTTGGCGCCCCAGCTGGGTCTGCAGGGGCACTGTCCCGGATGTTTGCTATTCTCCCTGAGTCACTAAGCCTCAGCAGAAGCGTACTGATGCAGCCGGATGCAGGCTGCAACCGCAGTAGCAGCAGGAAGATGGCTCCCACTGCAGCTGGTGTCGCATCTCCTTCTCCCACTGCCAGCTCCTTGCAATGCTCTTCCTGCCCTGGCAGCCTTTCCAGCCCAGCTTCAGGTGAGCAAATGGGAGACCCTTCTGCCATAGAGTTTAAGGCTGGCCTCTCCCCTCTGGAGAGGAGCTAGCCAGAACCTTGGACAGCTCCTGGCTCTGCCTGATGCCTACATAGGGCCCCGCGAGCAGCCTATGAGCACGCTACTACAGGCCTGGGCTAGTGTGAAATTGGTGCTTAGCAAAGTATCTCAGGGAGAGGTGGCGCTCTGAGTAGGTTCCCCAGAGCTGATTAAGATGTAACTTGAATCTGTTTGCATGAAGAGGAGAAGGTTCTTCTGAGAGCTCTGAATGAGGGAAAAAGAAAGCCTCGTTACTGCAGCTCCATTGGAGATGTCCCTATGATCCAGATAGAAAAAGGCTCTGTGTGTCTCATGAATGCCCCAGAGGTAGAGCCCTGGTGCTTCTATGCAGCGTAAGGAAGAGGCCCTCCAGAGGAGGCATTCCCCACATCCCACTCAGAACAAGGATGTGGGGGGTAAAGTACTGTGTGACCTCAGAGAGTAAGGGGGCGCTACTGCTGCTTCCCCCAGTGCTGAGGAAGGCAGGGGCCAGATTAGAACAAGGGCACCTCCATTCATGAAGGGCATCAACTGATCATTGTCCACACTGTAGCCTTTTCTGTGCCGATGTCACTTGCTGTGCCTGTTCCCCAAGCCGCTTTGCACACACGTCTTTGCTTATGCTGCTATTTCCCTGTTATTTCAGAAAGTCAGTCTCAGAGCCCGTCGAAGGCTAGTGCTGCACCCCTCTTATCCATCACTTTTGAAATCACAGGTAGGTGGGTCTATTCTGCTTGACATTTCAATCAGAGGATGGGAGGGTGGGGCAGGGCAGGGAGAGACCTGCAGAGGCCCAGAGCCCATTGCCCTGCCTCAAGGTTTAAACCATTCTAGAATGACACTGATGTGTGTACCCTTTCTCCCTCTGCGAAGTCACCTCATCTATCCCATTAAACACTACAGGGCCGTGGTAGCTCGATAATTATTGACAATGGAGACCTATATTCATAAAATGTAAGCCATCAGAAGAAATACAATCCTTAAAGAGATATCAACATACTAACAAATGAAAAACTTGTGAGTAGAACAGATACTATAAACAAGGCACCACGTGTGTGTAATGCTGCTTTACTTGAGGAATTATAAGTATATTCAGCAAACATTTATTAAATTCCTGCTCTTTGAAAGGTAGCCATGCTAGATGCTATGCTGTGGATTCATACATGAATAAAACCTAGTGTTTGCCTTCAAGGAACTTATAGTCTAGCATGTGGGGTGGGGAGACTCAATGAGATGCATGCAAAAATAACTGTAATGCAAGTTAGAGTATGAATACTGAAGTGCTGTGAAATTTAAGAAGATGCACATGGAAAATGTGCCATCTGACCTGGTTCTTGAAAGAAGGACAGGATGGGGATACACAGAACTTTGTGACTGGGGGTTAAAGAGGGTTATTAGGTAGTGCAAGCAAAGTGAGGGAAGCAAGAGAGGACATGGTGAGATAAGGGAGCACTAAGTCACCCAGTTTGGCTGGAATGGAGGAAGCCTGAAAGGAAGTCATGCAAAGGCCGGCTAGTGAAGATGGTCCAGAGTCTTGTACAGCTGGCCAATATAAGCTGTCCTAAGTACTTGTGTAGGTAGGCAGTGGCAAGAGGGGATCTAGGCATCTGGTTTGCCCAGAACCCACGCACCCAACTCTGTTCTTGAAGGTGTACAGGTGACCAGAGAGTTAGAAAGGACCCTTTACAGTTGGGAGGACCCTTTGAGGGAGGTTCTGTAGTTCATCCATGCACCTCATTTTATAGATGAGGAAACTGTGGGCACAAGGGGTGCAGTGACCTGCCCAAGATGCCACAGGTAGTAAGATGCAAAGCCAGGATTTGAACCTAGCTCTTCTGACTTCATTTCTAGTTTTCTTTCTCTGTGCCACGTTGCTGCCTAATAAATATAGAACAAGTTAAGCTATTTCAGTCCCTGTATGGTGGAAACTTCCACTGGAATTCTATAGCTCTGAGTTGGAACGAAGGATTAAGACCCAGAAATGGGATGGTTCTATAGAGCACCATCTGGGCTTAGGTTCTGTCTGTGATTTCCACAGAGAACTTAGTAAGCAAATATGGCAGTTACCCTCTGGGGATCTCTAATCTGTGATTAGAGGAACATGGATCCTGAAGGTCATCTGAATCCTAACCCAGCAGCTTCTAGGCTGCCCAAGTCTGTCCTGAACTATGAGTGTGTATAGCTCTGTATGGGAATCTTGCTGGGAGGGAGCTCCAGAAGAGGCTGAGGACTCATTAGCCATTGTCAGAGCACAGCTAACCAGGTTTAATCAGTGAGAACAGCTCTACAACTGAGAGCTGGAACATGCACATTAAAGCAGAGGAAGACCTGCAAATAGCCTGACACCTTCCCAGGAGCAGGTGCTGCACAGACACTGGCTTTGCTCACTGACCTTAGGCAGAATGGAAAGAGACTTGCTGCAATGATAGTTTAACCCCTCACCTCATTTTAGGAACCTAGGTTTTGGTGAACACATCCATGTTCTTGCTTTCTGTGAAACAGTATGGAACAATGGGAAGAACACTGGAGTCTCAGGTCAACCAGATTCAGATCCTACCTCTGCCACTTACTAGCTGTGTGACCTTGGGCATGTTTATTTTTTACCTCTCTGGACCCAGTTTCTCTATCTGTAAAATGATGGGGTTGGACTAGGTGACCTCTTGGGTATCAAGTCCCCTTCACAAAGAAGGCAAGAGAGGTTCAAGGACCTGCCCAAGGTCACACAGCTAGTAAGGCAAAAAGCCTAGCTACTAAATCTGTGAGCTTTGCTCTTTCTGTCTGAACAACTGAATGTGTATAATCCCCAGGTTGGAATATGAAATGATGACAGAGCGGTTGATACACAACAGGGGACAACAGGCAGGAAGGCTCCCTGGTGTTCTCTGACCATGCCTTCCCTCTCTCCCCAGAAAGCAGGCATTTTCCTCGTGCTGAAACCCAGTACAGCGATCACATGGGAGACAGCTCCTTCCCCACAGCCCACAAGGCCTGGTTTCTCTTCCTTTATCCTCCCATATGCTTTTTTTTTTACTAGTCAGTTAAGTTCTCTGTAGCTCTGTGTCTTTATTTGCAAGCTGTGCCTTCTTGTCTCTTAGGCAGCCTTTGAGAAAACTGAACTTATCCATGAACAAACATGTGAAGTTAAAGGAGCCTGAGTTAACCTCCTCGTGATCTGGGTCACTTATCTGAGGCAGCAGGCCTGTGATACTTAGGAGGGGAAGGCGGCAAATCCCTGCCGGGGTGAAAAACACTCCTTCATTGTGAGTCAGAGGATACATCCCTAACCTGGCTAACTGCCTCTCAATATGGGTTATTTGTCTCAAGGAGGAGCAGGCCAATTGGTAGGCCGTGAGGGGTCAAACAACCTGACCCGCTGGCCAACATGTACATGAATCCTTTTTGTAACATCTTAATGTATAATCTTATAAGCTTTATTTAAACACCACTGGTGACAGAGAACTCACTATCTTATAACCCTCTGGGGATCTCTAGTCTGTGATTAGGGAACCATGGATCCTGAAGGTCATCTGAATCCTAACATCTAGAGACAAAGTCAGGACCCAGCAGCCTCTAGGCTGTCCCAGTCCAGTGGCTGTCCAAGTCTGTCCTGAGCTATGAGTGTGGGTAGCTCTCTATGGGAATCCCATTTTTGTACAGTTTCATTTTTAGAAAGTGCTTTCTTCCTTATGTTGAATTGAAATCTACTTCTCTTCACTTTCTACCTGACATGGCCGCATTCTGCCACCTGGAGCAGTACCTTGAGCCCTTAATTCTCCTTCCGCCTGATAGGCTAGCCCATATAAAAATATGGCAATCGTACGCCTCTGTATAAGTGGGTTTAATGCTTAAAACAGCCATTAATTTGAAGGGATCCTCATATGACCCAGGTTTGAGTCCCTTGGCTCTCCTGATCACTGTCCTCTGGCCACAAAGGCTTGTCAAAGACCTTTATGAAAGATGTTGCCCAGAACTGAGCTCAGCACGCTAGTGGTGGCCTGAAGGGGGGAGTGGGCGAGGGCAGGAGGAAGCTGGTCCTTCAGCTCCCTCTTTCTAGGCACTCTACTCATTTCAGTATTTCAAAGGCCGATGATTTGCTCAATGGCAGCACCCATACTCTGACACATATTGTCCCCCATTCCTGATAAGCACCCCAAAATTGATTGAGTATCATCATTTTCTATAAAGCATGGCCAATAATTACCATTCATTTAAGAAAATGGCTTTGAAAGATAGTGAAATGTTTCATTCATAAAATGTCTGGGATCATTTGCAACATTGAATGGAGCTCTGTCAATTAAAATGAGATCTGGTAGAGAAAATATAGCAGACCACCATCCATATCCTGAGTCTTTCCCATTGTTTCTGGGGTCAATAATGCAAACCATAGGCTTACAGCCCACAGCATGTCCCATGCCCAAACTGGTCCTCTCCATAGAAACCTAAAATGGAGCCTAGCCTTGCAAGTGTTTGAGAAGAATAAAAGCCTCCTTAAGAACTAGAATCAGAATCTCAAATCCACCCTTTCTATCTTCTGCCTTAATTTCTTTCTTATCCCTCATCCACCTTTGCATTTGTTGAAATAGTCAGGGCGTACCCCAGGCATATAAAAATGGGTGCAAAGATGTCCTAGGAGTGTGAAGAACTCCCTGCTAAACCTGAAGGCTAAAGGAGGAAGAGCCTCCTAAATCCAATTCAGGTCAAGAAATATCAATGAGGTGCCTATTACATGTAGAGACCTGTGTTTGCATGTGAGAAAGATACAATGTTTAGCCAAGCCATGATCATAGCCTTCCTGGGTCTCTTAGGCTGTTATGATAAGGCACCAAAGCTTCTCAGTATACCTGAGGTTGAGTGAAAAGACCAAATTAAGTGCTCTGTGTGATCCAAGAAGGAAGGGAAGATTAGACTTGACTTCATAGAGAAGGAGGCACATGAATTGGTCTTTGAAGTATGGGGAGGAATTCAATATGCAAGGAGGGAGAGAAAGAACATTCCAGGCATGGAGAAGGAAGTGAGCAGTGGCAGAAGGGGGAGAAAAAACTTGGTGTATATGGGGGGAAAGGGACAAAGAAGAATTTATTGCCCTGAAATATAGCCAAACCGATTCAGTACTTGAGTCTGGACCCCAAGGTTGCTATCACAGTCATAGCTAAAGAAAGATACTTCCAATTGTCTAAAGGTTTGTAAGTTTCAACAAAAATAATTTCATAAGGATGATTTTGTCCATCACTAAAGGAAGGATGGGGGGTAGTGTCATCTAATCTCCCACCACTCATAATGTGTTTGGAGATGAAAAGCAAGCAAGATTTGCTTGTATGTGTGTGTAACATTAAGTATGGTAATAGAGCCCAGGGCCTCACTGCTCTTTGTGAGGCAGGATCCTGAGTAACAGGCAAAAAACAGGTTAGGCTCATTATCTGGTAGAGGAGATGACAAAGCCCAAATTCACATGAATTCTGCACTAAATTCTATACTTTGAATGGCCCAATAATACTGCCCACTTTCTCTTCCTTACCCACCCCCCCCCCACTGAAAGAAAGTCCTCTGACCCACAACAGCTCACTCAGGGTCATTATTTCCATTGCTTGATTATGTTGTTTTCATGTTTCTGTTTAAAAATATTCCCTCTGGATTCTGTTAAGTGGTGAACTGCCAGAAACATCTGCTGTGAGTTGGTTTGCATGATTTCTGTTGTTGATGTTGGTGTTGGTGTTT